AAATCTTCATGATTCCAGCATAAACCCACCAGGCATTATCTCAGGTGCAACTCCATAAGCTCTACAGGTCTAACCAGAGAAAGACCTTTTTAACCCAACTTCAGGTGTCTCCTGAAAACTGGGAGGGTAGTACTCAAACAAAAAAAAAAAAAAAAACAAAACAAAGCACTACACATACTTTATAAATATAGAATAGGGATTTCAAGTGCAGCAAATACTTCAACCATTATCTGCCAATATCCTGCATAGCACATCAAATCCCTGGCTGTGTCAGAAGTGTTGCAACTGCTGGTTACTTGATATCAAAAGCAAAAGCATTGTGTTACATATCAAACTGACTTTCAACCACCCCAGTATCTGAATAGCAGCAAGATGCTGAGAATTCTGCCTTACCATCAAATCACAGAATGTTATGGGTTACAAAGGACCTTAAGAGCATCTAATTCCAACCTCCTAGTGCAGGCAAGTGTGCCTCACACTAGACCATGGTGCCCAAGGCATTGTCCAATCTTGATTTGAACACTGTCAGGCCTGAACACTGCCTTCTCCCTACCTAAGACATAACAAACACATGCTATAAAAAAAAATCATTAATGCTTTACACCATTACAAGACTCATCCAACAATTGCTCTGATTTGCTCAAATTCATTAGTAATGCAAAAGGTTGGGCTGTAGCTCATGTGTAAGAAGTATTGTTAATCCACACACCACACAAACAGTATCAGAACAGCTTTTTCACTGCCAGGATACCTTCACTGCAATGTAAAGGCAACATGCAAGTTACATCTGTTAAATCTATTTCTCAAAAAAAAAAAAAAACAAAAACCCAACATATTACAGCAAGACAGTCCAGCAACAGTATTGGCCAAGCTGTCTTCCTTCTATTCAGGAACATTATTCTCTAATAATAATCCATGCACAAAGCAGAATATTAACAGAGCATGGACTTTCATGTTGAGACTGCAAAGAGTTTACACTACCAAGAAACGTCAGCTTAAAGTTGATTAGAATAGACTAAAGTAGTTATTCTCCTGATTCTCAAAGCTTCTATATGTATCCACTTTTTAATCTATCTTTAAAGTTATTGAATTCAATTCAGTCAAGCTAATCCTCATACTCCCTCATGCTATAGACTATTTACTTTAGCTAAGTAAGCTTGGCTCAGTTGCACAGTCAGCTCCCTTTCTGTAAGGAGGACTTCCTCACAGAGCCCAGTACCTGTTACAGCTCAGGATTTTTCGACCATCACATCCAGTGACAAACATTTTCAGCAACGCTCACAAATTGCTGAATGCAACTGAAACTATAAATCTGCTTAGATTATTTCAACTTAGAAAAATCAGGAGCCACATTGCAGGTATTAGCGCAAGACTTAGTTGAGTACTTGTTAATATTATAACTTAATATTTTAACTCAGTATTTTAGCTTTAAGAAACCCTCTCTTCACATATAACATTATCTTGCCAGTCACTTAAGTTGTAATCTAGTCATCATCTACACAGATCTCCCTGCAGGCTTGGCTATCTGTGCTGAGTGTTAACTCTCTTGTTTCATAGCTTGTTCAAATCCACTCTCACAAACGGGATAATCAGGCAGATTCCACACTCTGGCTTCTCAATCACCCCACCCACCTCCCTGGGAAACTTCCCCAACTCGTTCCCACCACCCGTAACATTCACAAACACTCAGTTTCTTCCCAGCTGGTGTTCTGGTCACATCTTAATTTTAGCTCTTCCATGACCTCTGACAACAAATACAAGCTATTACCTTCATTTCATATGACCTCTACCTGTACCATAATGTGACATCTAAGTTTTCAGCAGGGAGACTTCAGGGAAGGTGAAGTGTCTATATGATATTCTATCTGCAAAATACATTATTAGCACAAAATTTCACAGAAGTGGAAACTACATGAGCTTCCCACACACCTGCAGCAAATCCATGTAAGATATACGAGTACCAATTTGGTATTTGAGGTACTGATCTGTGAACGTTTTAAACCAACAAGTGATCTTCCTTAGTCACATATATTAAATATGCATTACTACTGTGGAGTTCTCACTGAGAACATTAAAGACACAACCTCAAACTCAAGAGACTTTAAAAAAAAAACGTGTAATAACTCAAGATGGCTTCTAGAGCTTTAACAACAGTGTTATTTTAAAACCATAGTGTGGAGCTTTTTATTTTCATATGCATGTCTGGGGTTCAGCTGTAAGTTATTTTTCTCCTTAGTAGCTGGTGCAGTGCTGTGTTTTGTTTCAGTCTGAGAACAGTGCTGATAACACACTGATGTTTTATTTGTTGCTAAGCAATGCTTACCCTGATCTTACCTGAGACTTTCCAGTCCCACATGCTCTGCCAGTGAGGTGGGGCACAGGAAGCTGGGAGGAAGCAGAGACAGGAGACCTGACCCAAATTAACCAAAGGGGTATTCCATACCACAGCGCATCATGCTCAGTGTATAAATTGGGGTGGAGTCACCCAGAAGGCACAGATTCCTCCTAGGGTTGGGCTGGTCATCAGTCAGCAGGTGGTGAGCCATTGTATTGTGCATCACTTGTGTTTACTGGGGGGGGTTCCTCCCCCCTTAGTTCTATACTTTCTCCCTTTGTTATTTCCCTTAGCATTAGTAGTAGTAGTGCTGTATGATACTTTAGTTGTTGGACTGTTCTTATCTCAACCCATGGGGCTCACATTCTTTCAATTCTCCTCCCCATCCTACCAGGGGGAAGAAAGAGAGCAATGAGTGAGTGGCTGTAATAGTGCCATGTTACCGGCTGGGCCTAACCCATGACAATGCACCAGACTGTATTATTAAGGTAGCTCCACCATTTTCCAAACAGATTTTGATGTTTTTTTTTATAAGCATACACTTACTTTAAATCACAGCAAAGCCCTTAAAGCATATTAACAAGCCAGATATTTCTAAAGATCTGTTGCAAAAATGGTGAATAAAAATCTCAAACCTCTACTCCATTGGAGTCAAGCTGCTCAATGTGACAGGTTCAGAACATTCCCTTAGCTTTTCAGAAATAAAAAGCTCAAGCAAGCATTTGTTTCAGTGCAGGCATCTGTTTTCTTTTCTCAGTTGTGCAAGATATTTCAAATGGAGACACACAGGTATTTTCCTTGAGCAAGACTACAGATATGAATCCATAATGGTGTAATTATCATATGGTTACACAGAAGTTTAATCTAATGAGAAACATCAACACAGCTGGTTTGAGTTTCTAGCAGTTAATGATAGACTAGGAAGACCATAACCAAACTCTTTAAGAGAAAATAATCACAGCATTGAGTCCAGGACTGAGCATTTAAGTGTCAGACATGAAGACTAGTACGAACTTCCACTTAGAATCTGCTATAATCAAGAACACATTTTGATAATATCTTGATCCTCAAGTCACAGTCTGGGGAGACAGAGATATGCCAGTATTTCCTGACTGGGAGCATACTTAGCATGGAGACTTACACAGACCTGTCACGTGACTGCTTACCACTGTATTAGCATTATTTTGCATTTCAAAGACACAGTTTTACCATGGATATTATTTAAGCACCAAGTATGTCTGCAAGTGGTGAAAAAGCTAACACTGCCTACATCTCTAAGCAAGATGCCAAGTCACTTCATGAGACAGAAACTGGTATGAAACACTTCATAAGCAAGATCTACAGTGGCTTAAAGGAACTATCTTTGAGGACTTACATATTTGAGTCACAGAATGGGCAATGCATTTACTGATTCTCAAAAGAAACCCAGCACACCATTTATTGACTCAACATGTCACAGAAGTTGGTAAACAACTCTCTAAAATTAATTTTTTTTTACCTTTTACAGGGCAATTAGCTTCAAGTCACCATCTTAATTTCAAAACTCACATTTGCAGTTTTCCTATCTTACGGCCACAAGTCAATGAAAGCACTTTTTTATTTCAACTAATTAAACGCTAAAAGTGTAATTTACTGATAAAGTACTTGCAAACTTATATTGTTACTCTAAGTTCTTGCACTTGGCTCCAGCCATGTCACGCTCACATCAGATCAGTGTCTTACATCAAAGCACAGGAAGTGCACAGCTCAAACAAGTTCCTCCACTGTTTCCCAACAGTAACTACACCATGACAAACATGCCTGGCAAATCAAAGAGCCCCACCTTTTTCCAGGCACAGGAGAACTTTGTTATGGCTACAGCAAAGTTTTAACCTGAATTTTTCACCTCACAAGGATGAATTTCCACTTCCAGAAGTATTTAGAGACAGCCTTGGTGAATACTCTTCTGCCCTAGATATAGCTTATGTTACGGAAACAATCCAATTCATCATTAACACCAAAGTTTAGCCCTCACCCCTGGAAGCTCCAACTATGCCAAGGTCAGACTGGAACTTAAAAACATCTTTCTCATGCCCAGAAACCAAATTCTCTTTTCCTCTGGAACACACAAAAGCAACAGAAAGAACATATTCCTGAAACATCCAAACATAATTATTAGTTAATAGATTCACAGGCTTGATTAAGAGCCATTATAAATTCTATTAAGGCTTTCCTCTTCCTATACTTCCTCCATGTAACTGACATTTTCAGGTAAATAAAGTACCAGGAAAGCATTATTTAATTCATTAAATAGTTACAACCTGCAAGTACCTATTAAACTTACTGAAGATTTAACATTGCTTCCTCCAAGGTGCCACTGTTTAAGGCCAAAGGTCTCCCTCAACTTGCACATTTTGTTATATTAAACCACCGACACTTGTCTCTAGAACACAGACCTATTTGTGAAGTTCAGTAGATTAAAGTGACTTACAGCATATGTAACTGACCTGCAAACAGGTCCATTATTCCAAATATATTCAGTCCAAAATGCTCCACTATGCACAGGAAAAGTTTAGAAGACAGTTTAACAGCAAAAGGAGGATATTCTGCAGAAAAGCAAGGCCATTTCAGACCAATTATGGAAAAGTTTTTCCTACTTTTCTGACACAAAAGCCACACCAGAAAATTTCTTTATATTTTTATTGTATGTCAAAAGTCAGTAAAGATGATGTTTAACTTGTATACAAGTTACTCAAAAACTGTGTCTAGGCAGAGATTCATTAGCAATCCAACTTATTTCAAAGCATAAGTTTGTTCAATCAGGCCACAAAAATAATATTGTGTACAAGCAGTAACTAAAGAGCTGCAGGTTCAAGGAGTTTTCAAATATCACAGATGTTGATATATCATCAGGAAATAAAAATAAAATCAAAGCAGTCACAATATAAAATAGCAGCTCCATATTGCCTTTTCAGGTTTTAACTTTATTTAGAAAGTGACACTTAGTTCAGTTTGCCTCATTCTTTGAAGCTTCATCGAAGTTTTCAACAAGATCTAGGGAAAAGAAGAACACTGAAATTAAAATCTGACAAATTTTCACTTTGCCAAATATTCTGGACTTGTTTTACTTCCCCCATCTGAAGTTCTACTTCATATCAAGTGCTCACAACATAAAGAAGCTTCAGCTTACAAAAAAATCAGAACAAGCAACTTTTAAGAGCTTTATGATTCTTTCTTCTTTCTCAACCAAGTTTTGCATGGTTCATTATAAAGCACAATTCTAGAGTCATTTAACTTCATTATAATCACAACTGAGCAAAGTGACATTGAGAAGGTAATTTCTTCCTACCCTTCTTACTTAATACTAAATAATCATCTTAGCCACAGCTATTACTTCTATAGAGGACAAAAATGCTAGCTCAAACCAACAAATCTCTCATGTTGCCTGGAAACAATGAAATAATCTGCCCACAGAAACTCAGTGACAGCAACTGACTGGTCAACACTCTTAACGTGCTTGCCCCAAGCACTACATATTATCTCTCAGGAAAATTCACCTTCTCTTCCTCCACTGCATGCTTGTTCTTACCTGGAACTTCATCATCATCTTCTTCACCCGTAGCAAGTGGTGCTTTTCCATCCACAGCTGCAAGAGCATGCAATTAATAAGCATCAGTCAAGCTCACCATAGGCATCTTGATTAACTGTATTTCTGAAAGCATGATCAAGGATTCTGAGCTGAACTGCAATACTTTATTCAGTTCCTGGACTGAATAAAAATGTTGAACTAATCTAGCAGGTTCACATTTCCTTTGTTACTGATAATGCTTAAACAGCCCAGGAGGGTAATGAGAAGATGCAGGCTAAACCAGCTTACTAGTAGTCTTCTATCTAGGTATCCTGAGTGCCTTGCATGGTAATAATTTTCAGCTACAAGTGATTCTACCAATTTCTATTAGAAGCAGCTTGGTTTATTGATTACTCCAGGTTCACACGTTTTACATAATCAAGCTTTAAGAAGATAAAGGATCCTGTATTTTAGGACTTTGAGGAAAACTCAGGTGTAATTGTGAAGGTGCAGGCAGTCACACATTAATTAAACATATTACTGTTCCCAGGCAAGCTCAGAGGAACATGGAACTGGATGCACAATTTTACACTTATGTGGTTGAGGTAACCATGTGTTCTGGGCCACATCTCTGCCAACTCAGCTGTTTCTTAACTACTCCCACTTTGTCTGCCAGAGCTACTGAGACTTAACCATACCTACTGTAGCAGACCAATGAGCATCTGTTAAACTGCAGCAGTATAGTACTAAGAACAGATATCTCAGGTCCCCAAATGCCTACACCACTACTTTCATTGCTATTCTCAGCTGTACTACCAAGGGTAAGCTGTCTTGTACTCTCCATCACCTCAGTTTTATCTTAATTAATCCTTCTCAGTTTTCAAGAAAAGCATGAGGCAACATATGGGTTTATACTAGACCTGTATCCTGACTTCTAGAGAACCAAAAATCAGAAGAATGAATAACCTTTGGTGTGAAAGGGCATGGGACAATGTTGCCACTAACTCTCCTTTTGTTTTTTTAACAGCAGAAACCTGTTACAGCTTAAGTGCATCTCAGTGTCAAATACCACATTTTAGAAGCGACCCTGTTGTTTCCTTCTACACCATCTGCATTGTCTCTCATCCAGTATCATACTAAGATTACTTTAACACCTGCAAATGCAATCACCACAGACACTTCACTTTTCAGTGCCTTTCAAATCCAGCAGACAATGCTGAATGGAAAGTTTTGGGAGACTACCTTGGCAACCACCCAAACTGGCAAGGAATAGCCATTTACTAGATCATACAAAGCAAGCACTTAAACAAGCTTACCTAATACTAAATTGCAAGATTTAGTTTACCCCGAATATAACCCACCTTGTTATGAGAACAGAGATCTTTGCAGATCATTTTAGGTTGTTTTTTTATACATTTCAAGCCCTACTGCCACAAGAAAGCCACAGAGGTAACATTAGGAAGGAAGGACCTAAGCTCCATGTGGAAAGCAGCAGTTTAGCCCACCTCATGAAGACCACTTCTAGCAGATTTTTTTCAGTGGAAATTGACAGAAGGAAAGTCTTAAACTTTAGGAATGGAAATACAAGCTGGCAGCAAAGTACAGGAAGAAAAAATGTAGCAAGCAAGTTCAGAACTACCAGAAACTGGACACTGCAATACGCTTCTATTTTCTGTTTAGGATGTTCAATACCTTAAAAGGAATGGGCTTAAGATATTTCAGAAAGAAGACAGTACATGCAGAACCCAATGAGTGTTTCCAGTGCCAACAAGCCTGTGTTTCACTCCTAATAATCACTCTGTAGCAGCAGCATGTTTTCTAAACACTATATACTTAAATCTCTCCTCTACTTTTCCCACACAGTTTTAAGAAGAAAAAGCACATGTGTTTTTACTAATTTTAGAATGAACTAGGAAGTTGGTGTATCTAGTTTAATGCCAGTCCTGTTCTCTACACTGCTCTACACACAGAAATTATAATGCATTTCCTTATAAATACTGTGCAATTCCCTCCTAGTGATCAGAAGCCCGTGCAAGAAATACCTCCACCACACCTGTGAAGCAGCAAAGCAGTTGCAAGATGTCTGTTCTCAAGTCCCTTTCTCATTACTTATGTTTCCATTCAAAGTGTCAAAACTGACACACTCAAATTCTTTTTTCTTAAACCCTAACTCTTCCAGAACTCATCTACTTACCTTTAATGAACAAGGCAGAACTTTAATGAACCACAATATGGCAGATCAAGAAGTAAGCCACCATGAAATAAAGTCTGGCTACAGCTTTCCAGTCTGACACCAGCTGCAAGATACACCAACAGGTGCCCCTGCTGTACTTGGTTATACTCATCAGATTTGAGCTATAAATAAGATGCAAGAGTTCCATTTCTTTGTAAGTATTTTATAATATGCTTACAGACAGCAAGGGTGCACTGAATTTCACTGCTGCTATACAAATAAGCCTCATGTCAGCTGCCAGCATGAAATGCATTCAAGTTTCAACTTACACTGCTTGGGTAGGGCTTCTGCCAATCTCCTCAGGCTGGTCAAACTGTCAGCTCCAAGCTGGTTTAAGATGCTAGGAAGCATTTCTGTTAGCTGCTTTGTCTCAGCATGGCCCGTTATAGTGAAAGTGTTAGCAGCCAGAGATGCCTGAACTTTAGGGTTATTGAAGTGAATGACTGTTCCTTGGTTAGTAAACATGTTGACCTGCAAGAAAAAAAAAAAAAACCAAAACACAAAACAATACACACACAAAAATAGATTTGAAGCAGTTTAGCAAGATATTTTCAATTTAACAGGCAACTGAGTCCATAAATACCTACTGATAATTTACAGAAAAGTTTAGGTCGTTATTTACCTGGAATACTTGTACTGATAAATTTTTCTATTCCTGAAAATAGTATTTTTTCATGGGAAGCAATTACCTCCTCAATTCCAGAAATATTGTTGACTCCCAGTTTCTTCAATGAAAATTGAAGTTTTTTGTCATCTGCTGCAGCTGTTCTGTGGACAACCTTCTTCTTTCTGCGGGCAGTACCCTTTGCCAAAAGAAAAAAAAAAGGGGGGGCAAGCTACAAGTTACTACTTAAATAGTTCTTCACAAACTCTAATCCTCAGCACTGTATAACTACTCTGCAGCCATCTACAAATCAGCTTACCATATAAAGTTCTACTTTTGTGTTATAGTGCATGCAACCATACCCCTCCAACTGCACTGCAGCAGTCTCTCTTGCTAGAAGGCAAGCTTTGCATGTCTGTCACAAGAGTGAAGTTTTAGGAAGCAGTGCACCAGAGAATGTTTATTCTGCAATTCTCTTGGGGTTTCTGCAGCACCTTGCAAGAAAAATTGCAAGTTTACCCTTGCCTGTTATCACAGCAATAACAATGAAAAATAGGCATGGGTGTACGTAATTTCTGAAGTTTATTATTTTTTTATCATCTTTCTTAAGTTGTAGTTGTAATTCTTGTAATAGTCAAAGACCATGTAGGTCACACCAACAGAATAGTAGACTCATCTGCCACTCCTCTAAAAAGACTTGGAAAAAAACACATGGCATTACCTATAGGTATGTTCTACACAGAAACCTCAAACTTCCCACAACAAAGCACTGCAACAGCCCTCCACCTAAATATCATCTTTAGATTATTTGTAAAATCTGCAGACTTGCAACACCATTAAAATCTTCCAGTAAAAGGCAATGTGCAACCTTTTCACACAAGAAGTGACTCCTTCCCCGTCTGAAAACTCCTCTACAGTCATCTCAACTTATATGGTGACAATGTCATGAAGAATCCCCTTAATAATTTCCAGTTATAAAACAAATTAAAAAAAAAAAAACTTCAGGCATTCAAAGTATTTCACACACCAATGCTAAACTGAATGACAGCACCACCAGTATGGTCTACACTTCCCTAATGCCTCTAGAAGACTTATATTGACAAGGGAGCTACAAGAACTGTAATCTGAAAGCATGCTCTTACACAGTAAAGATTACAAACCTCTACAGTCAATAAACACACACTGGTAACATGCATACAATCATTAACAGAACACAGAAATTCTCTACTTAACCAGTAGCCCATACAAAGAATATGCAAAATCACCAGGCCAGTTAATTACTACATTAGCCTCGGTTTACTGCTGCCTAACTCTCCAGCTAAAGGAAAAAAAATAAAATCAAGACAGTTCCTGGAATTCCCATCAGCAAGACTTCTGTTGAACAGCTTGTATTTTAAGATACTGTGAGTACACTTCCTCAGGTACAAAAACCCCCATAAATTCCTGCCTTAAAACTGAGACTGTAATTAAAATGTTTATACCATACAACTATATTACGAATACTTTATTTTCATATTGTAAGTAGTCACACAGCTACATATATTCAAGTATCATAACAAAATGGAGAGGTTTTCGAACATGTTAGTCTACAACTGCAAAAGTATGGAAAGCACGGAATTTCTAACTTCGTTCTAAAAGCAAGAATTAGCCATGGGCACATTAAAGCCTTCCGACAAAGAGTCTGGCACATAACCTCTACAATATGTTATAAAAACTATGCCCAAACTTATTTACTGTAAAACCCACATATTTCAAACCACACACACCTATACAAGCAAAAGGGCAATATACTGCAATATATTACAGCAAAGCTGAAATATTTTACAATATATTGCAGTATGTTACAGCAAAGCTGAAATATATTACAATATATTACAGTAAAGCTGAAAAGGCTGGAGATTCAGTTACTCCACACAACTTCTACAGAACTGACTCCGGAGATCCCTGCACCAGCAGCACAGCTCCCAGCCAAGGAAAACATACGCGTGCTGCTCCCACCACGGTTTTCTGGATCCCTCATACTAGGCCTGGCATGCGAGCGCAGACACACAGCCCCGAGGACAGGGTAAGAACTCGGCTCCTACCTTGCCACCGATGCGCACTTGAGCCTGCAGCTTGGCGAGTTTCTCCTGGTTCATGATTGTTTCTTTCATCTGTGGAAGCAACAAGAGCACCCGTGACTGGCGGGCCGCTAGGCGTCGGTGTGAGGGCAAGGGGGCGCAAAGGACTCTACAGCTGCCCCTCACCACAAACGTGCGTGCCCAGCCCCACAGGCCACAAGTTAGGGCACCCTACCACATCACAGCAGTAGGAAAGGACCCGCTCCTACCTGAGTGGAAGCTCAGCGCCCCTCGAGCCCAGCCCGTAACCACCTCCCCTTACCACTACCACGCATCAGCCGACCTACAGCTCTCAGTCACCCCCCGCCGCCTCTTTATACCTTCCCAGAGCGGAAGCGAAGCGGCGGAGCCGGAGAGGGATAAAAGACGAGAACCGGGGGCCAAGCGCGGGATTGGGCGTTACACGCGGAGCTGCCTGAAGCGAGATGGCGGCCGGAAGGAAGGAAGGTACAGCGAGGCGTACTCCGCATGCGCAGTTGTCCGGGTCGGTAGAGGGCGCCTCCCGCGGTCGGGCGTTGTTGGTGCTGTGTGGTCCAGCCGCGCCTGGGGCCTGGCGGTTGGCTTCGCTGTGCGGCCCTTCCTGCCGCCGTCCGGGGCCTCACTCCCCGATGGCGGGTGGCCTCAGTGTTGCCTTGTTTGGTTTTTCACTCCTTGAAGGCGTGTACGGGTTGTGCTTTCCTTATTGTCTTCTTAGCACAAACTTACCCGCTATCTCTGGCCCAGGGGTTCCACGTGTGGGTTTGGGGGCAATCCTCTTTCCGGCTGCCCTGCTCGAAGCCAGCCTGCTGAGGCTGATTTCTTTAAGGCAGGCTGTCTGTCACCGCTGCCCACGGGGCAATTCTGATCTCGTTTTATTTACCTTCACCTCGGGTGTTCTTTTCTTTGGCTCTGTATCCTCCGTTGCATTAGCAGGTTTTCTGCTGGCTGCTGAGCGCTGGTTCTCGCAGAGCCTTTTTTCTGCAGCAGTGTTTTTCATCACCAAGGTCTTAACTAACATGCCTGTACTGTCCCTGTGTTATCTAACTTTTGAGAATCAAATGTAAGCCTTCAAGGCCTAACTTGAGCAGTTGCTGCTGCATTTGAGTATTTGTAAACCATATTCCTCAGGGTAGAGGTAATTCACAGTGTACAATTTCAGTCCTCCCCAGGTTTACTAATGTACTTCAGTCTTTTCTCTCAAAAGGAGCCTGGTGGGACTAATCTAGATATCGGGAGCTCGTACGTATGGGTTCTCATTCTTAGTATGCAGAGAGCTTAGCAATCTTTGGCTTCTGACCTGTGCTGCATAGCAAGGTGCAGGAGCAGATTTAGGGGGAAAGAAGCCTGACATTTCTATCAGTGTTCATCAAGTGATGCAGCACAAGGGGAAGTCATGTTGTTCTGTGGTCCTGCCCCCATCATCACTGCAACCAACCTCAACTGGCCTCCTGGCAGCAGTATAATACTACCAACCTTGCCATCATCTCATCCTGTATTTTAATGCCTTCTAAACCAATTATTCTCTGGAATATCCTCAATGAACTGCTACCTTTGTTCTTGTTTCTGTAAGATTATGTTAATAATTAATTTTTCCTTCTCTACTGATTAATGGTAAAGCTCCCATGATAGTAATTTCCAGAGCCACGGTTTTGCCAAGGCAGTGCTTTTCATGTGTGTGTTTGCTCTCATGATATGTTTTCACTACGTTGTAGCTGAGTGTTAATTTGTGCAGAAAATTTTGATTGCTGTTAAAACTGAGACTTTTGTAATTAGTGAGAATGAATGATCAACCAAAAGTTATTCCAGCTGGTGGTGATTAAAGAGGTGCTGCTGAAAAGCAGCCTGTACCTCCCAACAGAACAACATCATGGCTGAAAATTAAATCAAACAGCTATAAAGGATGACCTGGGGACCTGCAGAAGTTTGGTCCACCCTATCTGTAAAATTGGAGTAGTAAGTTGGTTTGCTTAAATAAGAAGGGGGAAGGAAGCCCATATTACTGTATCTGAACTAGCAAACCCAGTACCTAATTTGGAGGGAAAGGAACAAAATATATTTGGGAGAAGGAGGGATTTGGGGAGGACAGAGTTTGTTCTGAACTTAAAGTGAAGTTTATAAACTTATTGCAAGATGAAACTGGCAATGTACCTGCAGCAAAAGAGAATAGTGCCAAGATAAAAAGAAAAAAAAAAGAATAAATAAAAAACCTAAACCAAACCTGAGTAACTGTTGGCTATTGAAAGTAAAAGCAATAAATATTTCCACTTCAGATTTATCAGTCTGCCAACAATATCTAAGGAAGATTTCTGGATTACTAGGCCAAATGATTACTAACATGCAAAATATTTTTGTAGGCTGAAATACTGATGTGAAAGAGTTGCAGAAAGATCATTCCAAGGTAGAAGCTGTAGAAAGTGCTGACCCAGTTTTCAGCCTAGAATTAATCGGGCTGTAGGTATGATCTCATATTCCCTTGTGAGATTGTGAAGACAAATTATGTTGAAAAACCACATCACTGAGTTGTATCAGGAATCAACTGAAGCAGTTCAAGAACTGCAGCTTAAAGGACTCTGTAAGATTTGGTTACGTTTCTTGGATCAAACAACAGATTTTCAAAAGACAAACTTTGCATCTGAGAAAAAGTATTTTAGAATGCTAAAGTAGTATTGGCTTGTTTTCTTTTTCCCTTTTTCTGTAATTGCATAATGGGAAACATAAACCTAAACCTGGATTCTGTGTAGCTGAAGAACTTCTCTAAGGAAATGAAACAGATCCAAAGCCCGTAGCACTGAAATGAAGCCTGTGCTCAGTAAGCATCTTTTCAGTTCTGAAAAAGGTTGAAAGTTAAGATCTCAAAATGATCAAAGAATATACATTGCTAAAGCAAAGTTTGTTAGCTGCACGGAAGCAGCATAAGGGTGGAAAGAGACCATTAAATTGGTTACTCACAAAAACTGTCTCCTGAATTATGTGGAAATTTGAAGGTAGGAGAATGACAGCATTTGCTGTCTAAATGCCAGTGGAAAAGGTCTTCTAAAAGACATGGCCAGTGTATAAGCAATAGCAGAGTACATTGAGAAAAGGTGTTGTTAGTGTCATTTTCAGGAAAGAAATCACAGGTCATACATAAGTGATTAGGCAAAAGTGAAGTATTATTTGTCCAGATTGCCAGTGACTACAAACAACACAATGTATTTTCAGACAGTGGAGGAAATGTGATATTTAAAATCTCATTAAAAAAAAAAAAAAAAAAAAAAAAAAAACAAAAACATTTGTTCAAAAGAATGCTGTGTTCAGCACCAGGACATAAGGGGAAAAGTGTTAAGTTATTTGGAAAAGTACGCATATATGTTAGTAATTTAGGGGAGGAAAGCGGTATCATCATGGGGTACAAAAGCAAAAGTGGTGAGAAATATAAATGGAAAAGAAATAATCTTAGAAAGTCTAAACATAGGACTCACTGAATAATTCAGAACTTTTTAAGAAATACTAAACATATCTAAACATTGAATGGGAGCATGGGAAGATTGATCTTAATTGCAGTGCTGTTTTCACCTCATATAATGTAGTGTTGTACCATGTGCTGGTGAGTTGTATGGAGTTATCCATAATAGGCTTCAGTGTCAGGGAAGAGAGCACTCCTCAGCAAACGGTGTCCTTTTGTCACCATGCCTGTAAGTCTTAAACTCAGCAACCCAAAATACATGGGCTTCAAGCCACCTTCCAAGCTTTTCATGAGTGGTGGGTTGCCTCTCTCTGTTTATGACACCCTGCAGAGGCCGACTAGCGAATAGTCCGATAAGTGCTACACAAAGAATGTCCTGCCTTCACTGAACATGGTTCAAATAGGCTTTGCCAAATACTTGGGAATTCATGTTAATTGGACTGGTAAAGGCTCACCAAGGAAGGCTTTAGTGTTAGTCTTTGTTAAAAATTAAAATCTCTCTAGAGAACAGGTAAAAGTCAGAAGTCACAATATTCCTCACTGGCTGTGTGTGAAGATGGTATCTCAAATTTATGCAGACATCAGACTCAAACCAATTTATTCCTATGCACAGAATTCAAGAGAACTTTATAATTTAAGCCACAGAAAATACAGAAATATTTTTAACCCTGAGTAGTTAGATGTGTAGCTGTCAATGCACCACCTTGGCCAATATCCTGGTGGCTGTGAAGGTGCGATTTATTATCTGTTTTGCCTTTGGCTTCATAGGTTGCCTTTGGCCCAGGTTAGTGTTCAGCAGGATGCAAGTGCAGTGGGCCAGGGGTGGGAAGGCTGAACAGGGCAAGGGCTTTCCTCCTCCTGCAGCAACTAGCTGTTATTTCTGTTCAAGCCTGGCAGGAGCCCACCACCCCCCTAGTTTCAGATGGAAAAATCAATCTTCTCTTAACTTCAATCACAGTATATCCTGTCCCCAATGATTTCTAAGTAAACAAAGAGCATACTTGCCAATATTACTTGCATCACTACAGAATTAAATGAAAAATATGCCAAATGTCTGAGACATGAATTACAGGATCTCCCTCCTTATTTGCCAGAGCTTGTCTACAACAAAGAGTTCAGGGCTTATTCAGACGATGTTAGAAAGTTTTCCAATAGTCAGTGGAGTCATAAAATCAAATGTAACCTAAACAAACATGATTTGTCCTTATGATGAATACCAGATGTGATGGCCAGTGCTCTATTTTGAAAATCGGGTATCCCTCCACTAGCACTGGCTTTAAAGAGTAGAAATAAAAAGTTTAAATAAAAATTATAAAAGTAAATTTAGGGATTGGGTGCAGAGCAGAACTGCTTGTACCAATTGCCAGAGTGCTTTGATCCCATGCATCCACAGCACCAACAGAATGTGGAGTGTTCTGTATCAGTATGCAGGAATTTTGTGTGTAGTGCATAATTTAAAATTTATAATGGATGACAGTGAGCCCAAGCGATAAAAAAAAAAATAAATAAACCCTATCTGTGCACCTGTATTTCACATCTTGTTTCTGTGCTACTGTGGTTTTAGGCCTGTGTTATATTTATATCGTTCACAAGCAGAGAAACCACGGACTAGTGCCCCCGAGGTCCTAGGGGCCGTTTCGCGGATGGGTGTGTATGGCCCAAGAAGGGCGACAGAGCCCTGGTGCGATGGCGCCCGGAGAAGTTACACCGTTTTCGTGGGAGTTTCTCATGTCCCCCCAGAACGCTGCTTTTCCCTACGGTCTCGGGGTCTCGCTCAGCCCCTGCCCTTTCCGGGAGCTGGTCGGGGCAGAGGGTCACGCTGGGCACCCTGCTCTGGCACACGGCTTCCCGGAGCCGGCCGACCCGACGTGTCCCGGCGCTCCCTACCGGTAGGTGGCATCCACCGTCCGCGCAGAGCACCGCCAGAAGCGTACCGTCGCCGGGAGGAGCGGAGCCGCCGCGGGACAGGGACCGGGGCAAAACCCCGCGACCGCGTGGTCCGACGTAGGGGAAAGCCGTTACGGCTGTGCCTCTGCTGCTCGCCTGCCTTCTTTTGTTTCTTGCCAATTTAAGAAGGCACCTACCGGGCTGGGACGGGAGCGAGTGGAAGATGCACCAGGTCTCAGTTGTCTTCACTGGGGCTAGCTCAGCTGCCCCCAAGAAGGCAAGCCCCTCAGACCCCTCTGCGGCGACAGTCGAGGGCTTGCTATATTGGCCGGGTCTGCCAGGGCGTCCCCATCCCCCTCGCCGGCCGCGTTCAAGAGGACCCGAGCCGGGGGCCCTCCCGTGCTGCCGGTCCTACCGCAGACCCGCTGGTGTCCCACGGTCAGTGAGACCTGATGCGTCCTGCGTGGGGCTTAGCAGTAGGTCGCGGGCAGATGCAGCTCTTCTGCTCTGCTGCTACCGCGGATCTTCCCCATAAATTTCTGAGCTTCACTGTTCTTCCGTTATAAGAGCGTGAGGGTTTGTTTTTTGAGATGATTTCAAACCTTCAGGCCAGAAGAAGAGCAAGAATAACACGAATAAAAAAGGAGTTAAAAGGAAAAATACTAACTGTTTGTACCGATGAGAAAATTCTTGGAGAGGAAAAGTTCTCTTTATGCCTTCTGTATAGTAACTTGCCCTAGAACTCGAAACTAATTCAAAGGGGCATTTTACTTCCTATGAGATGTAAGTCTCGAGTGATATTATCAATCTTTCTACAGGAAAAATTAGTAGTCCCATTACGAATTTCGGACTTCTTTTTTCTTCCTTTCCCTCTCATCCCCCCCCCCCCCCCCCCCCCCGCCCCTTTTTGTAACATTTGGTGGTATTCTCCTGCAGACGATTTAGTAGTGAACAAAATGTAAATAGGATTATTTGGAAATAGTAGAAAGGATTATGTTGTAAATCCGTGGAACTGGGTTTGAAAGAGGGTGGCTTGGGTCCTTTGAATTAGGACGATATATCGAAAACGTATTTCAAGAAAACGGTGTGTGAGAGTTGTTTGGGCAGCGAGATTTGAGCAGTGAGGACGCTAGGCATCAGTCTGCCCTTCTCACCCCGGTTTCTACCGGAGTTCGAAATGCTCTCCTCCTCTTCCTCCCATCCCAATCGGATCGTCATCGTGGGTTATCCTAACAGAACTGGAAGGGATGGGGATTTTTAAGGCTTTTCTTTATAAGACCACGGTGATTGCATTTCTGTTAAGTTTGGTTTTGTCCTTTCTCTGCCACACCTCGCATACAGGGGGTCCTCGCTCTTCTGCTGTCCTTGCATGTATCACCTGAAACTGGGAACGGTGGACTTGATTAGAAAGCAGTTCTTTGTGTCGCTTTCTTTGAGGTGTTCCTCCTACACTTAGAGCAGAATTCACAGTTTAAAGGCGGGTGAACTGTCTTCCTTTGCACGTGAAAGAGATAACGATAATTCTTGTTAGTGTTTTCCATAATGAAGGGAACTGCTTCTCTCCCTTCACAAACAATAACCTTACAAATAAACCGTGAGATTAGCGGTGTGCTTTGGAGGCGAGCTTGAGAGGTCGACTTCGAGAGCTATGTGATTTCATTCTTAAGTGAATTAAACTCTGGAGGGTGAGAAGGAAGGGAGGGAGAGAGATGTCTCTAAATCATCCCGCAGGCAGAAGCCTGAAGTTTATTAACTCACCATCTCCCTCCCGGGCCTGATTTTTGTTTTTTAACTCCCCTCCTTCCCACGGGAAGCGGGACCCGGTCGCTGGGGAAAGCCCAGGAAGCCGCAGAGCTCCCTGCACCCTTCAGACCGCTCCTGGGAAGATGCTCCAGCACTTTGGAAGAGGCTCTAACTTTTCTTATATCCACCCGGGGCGGGGTGGGGGAAGGCGGGTAATGTCTTTATTTCCCCTCTTCTCCCTTACGGCCGGCCCCGGTGGCCCCTCTCCGCCCCGAGCCCCTCCTGCAGGGCTGAGGGCGGGGGCATGGGGCGGGCTGCGAGGCGCCTCGCGCGGTGGGGGCACACAGCACCATCCGAGGCCACCGCTCTCCCCGCCGCGCTCTGACGCCGGGAGCCATGTGATGGCCCCCTCGCTATAAGGCGGGGAGGAAGGCTGCCCTCAACTGGGACTCGGCCCCAGCCTTTTCACTGTCTTTTCCAAAGCCCCGGCAAACCGCCCCCTGCGCCCTCCCTCCTCGCCAGCCTCCTCCCCTCCCTCCTCCTCCCAGGACTAGGCACGCTCCCTCCGGCCCCACATCCATTAATGTCTGGGGGCTGAGGTGAGGAGAAAGAAGGGGGAATCGACTTCCAGGCGCTGCAGCACAGCCACCCCTTCCCCTCCAAGCCCCGGCTTCAACCAAAAAAAAAACCTCCAAAACCCAAAATACCCCCCAAAAAGGGGAGAGGAAGAAAGAGAGCGGTACAGATACCCAAACAGCTGCAAAAAATACCCCGAAACAAAACCCAAACCAGCCGCCGCCTCCGAGCGGGCGGCGGGAGCTCTCCCGCGGCGCGGCAGCGGCGGCGCTGGGGGCCGGCGCGGCTCGGAGCGGCCCGCCTGCCCACGGCGGCGGCGGCAGGGCGGCTCTTCGCGGAGCGGCGCGGGGGTCTGGCGGCGACGGGGAGGGCTCCCGCCCGCCCGCCGCGCTGCGCCGGCCGCCACCGATGCGCTGCCCTGCCGCCGCGCCATGACCCTGAGCTCGGAGATGTCCGAGGCGACGGCGCTGGCTGAGGAGACCGACATCGATGTGGTGGGTGAGGAGGACGACGAGGAGGACGACGAGGAGCCGCAGCCCCACCGCCGCTCCTACGCGGAGGACGAGGAGGAGGAGGAAGAAGACGAGGATGTGGGTGACCTCCACGACGACGCCCTGCTGCCGCGGTCGCCCGTGCGCGGCGGAGGCTGCGGCGGTGTAGTTGGGGCGGCCGGCGGGGACGGTGCCGGCGGCGCTCGGCCCCCCTCGCGGGGCGACCCGCAGAAAGCAGCAACAGCGGGCTGCGGCGGGGCGGGCGGCAGCGGCGGCGGGGCAGGCGGCGGCAGTGGCAAGAACAGCCTGGTGAAGCCGCCCTATTCTTACATCGCCCTCATCACTATGGCCATCCTGCAGAGCCCCAAGAAGAGGCTGACTCTGAGCGAGATCTGCGAGTTCATCAGCGGGCGCTTCCCCTACTACCGGGAGAAGTTCCCCGCCTGGCAGAACAGCATCCGCCACAACCTCTCCCTCAACGACTGCTTCGTCAAGATCCCCCGGGAGCCCGGGAATCCGGGCAAGGGCAACTACTGGACGCTGGACCCGGAGTCCGCCGACATGTTCGACAACGGGAGCTTCCTGCGCCGCCGAAAGCGCTTCAAGCGGCAGCAGCTCCCGGCCCCCGAGCTGCTCCTGCGTGCCGTGGATCCCGCCGCCTTCCTCCCGCAGCCCCCTCCCCAGCCCCCGCAGCAACCGCCCTGCGCCTATGGACCCTACGGCTGTGGCTACGGCCTCCAGCTTCAGCCCTACCACCCCCACTCCGCCCTCTTCACCTTCCACCACTCCTCCCCGCCTCCCCGCCAGCCCGCTGCCGCACCCGGCAGCGCTCCAGGCGCGACGCTGCCCTCCGCCGCCGCGGCCGCACCGCCGGGGCCCTTGTTGCCGGCGGCGGAGCTGGCACGGACGCCCTTCGGCTACGCGCACCCGCTGGGCCCGGCGCTGGCGGCCTCGCTACACGCCGCCAAGCCTGGCAGCGGCGCGGCGCTGGCCCGCTCGCCCTTCTCCATCGAGAGCATCATCGGTGCGGGGCCCGCCCAGGGTCCTGGTCCCGGCGCGGGCAGCAGCTGCGCTTCCCAGTCGGCCGCGGCGCCGGGGCTGTCCCGCTCGGTGGGGAGCTCTGGGGGCGGCCTGCCCCCTGCCGCAGCCCTGCCCGCCGCGCCCGGCTTCGCGGCACGGATCTCTAACTGTTAAGGGTGTGGGAGTCTTTCCGAAGGTAGGATCTGGGGTATCTATGTCCTTTCTCTGCCGTTCGGATGGACGCCCAGCAGACGACGTCCGGAGGGAATGCGGGCTTTGCATGGGGATTTCGCGGTGGGACTCGGGAGGGAGCCGCCGCGGTGGCTGACCGCACGGGCAGGCGGTCACGCTATAGCAAAGTTACTCGTTATTCCTTAAAAAATCAAAAATAATGGTGATAAATAACGTCTCTAAACCGTTAAAAGTTCAGAGATTCTCAGGTCTAGGAACTTGAAAACAGTGATGTACAGGAAAAAAAGAAAAAGGCTTGAGGGAGGACAGCAAAGCAATACTTTTTCATTTTAGTACACTTGTCTCATATACTTTTATAAAAGAAAAGATTAACATGTTTACACAGACGAAAGTCAAGGTTATCATTTCTTATTTTAACCTGTGTTTTGTATTATAATAGACTTATGGAGTTTTTTATTTTGTACTTTATGCGTATTCTTTACAAGGAATATTGTTAAAAATTACTGGCAAGTATTATTGTACCATTTTAATGTAAAATTTTTACACAATTTCAAAAATAAAATTTTTAATTTTCAAAAAAAAAAAAAAAAGAAGTGCAAAACCAAACCCAAAGACCAGAGGAGCCCAGCCAAACAATTGGCTTCGGACCCTTCCCTTCTTAATGCTTCTTCCTTCTTTGGGGCATTGGTATTTTTTTCTTGGGGATTAATAGTACAATAGCTAAGGAATTATAAAGCTTGCAATTTGTTATGACTGGATTTGACCGCAAAGAAGCAAATCAGAATATGAGCTTTGCAGTCAAACCATTGTTAAACATAGCGGAGAATGAAAGACAAACAAACAAATAAATAAATAATGGACAGCAGAGGGAATAAATAGAAATAAATCTTTCTTGGGGGAGTAAATCCCAGTTCCTTAGGGCACCAATCGGGGGATTGATTAAAAAGACGGTTTAAAACTGTTTTTATACTTTTGGGTGTGTTCTAAATTACAACTGCATCACAATTTGGTTTCCAAGAGGCCTAAATTAAAATACTGCTAATAAGCAGCTTGTACTGAACTTCGGAGAGATTTGACCAAGACACTTATGTTTCTGTGACGATAACAGGGACATGTGTTTCTACTTTACAATACACATAATATAAAATGAGCGTTGGGATATCCTCATGTGACGAGCTGATTAGATGCATGATGTAAGGATGTGTAAGTGTATGAAACAAACCGTGAAGGCTGCTTTTCTGAGGGTGAACTCTTATCTTAACCTGTAAAAGATCGATAGATACCTATTTCATAGGCTAAAATTATTTTTAAACATAAAAGCCATCTTCAAATATTCGGATCTTAGGCATGAAGATTGAATCGCAGGGTTTAACAGCAGGCGTGTGATCGCTTGTTGTGGACTCTGAACACGAATTTTCAAATCAGGGCGGAGCTTTTCAAGTACGAATATTTATACCAATTTAGTAGATTCACGGATAAATTATGTGAATTATAGTGAAAAGGAAAAAAAAAAAAAAAGTGGTGCCTTTTAGTGCTCTTTGGAGTGAGGAGGGGAAGGTTGTGTGGTTACCTGATTTTACATACCGAAAAACCTCATCGCCTTGATTTTAAATACTATCAGGGATAGAAAAGTGATGCTTTTCTGTTTAGTTTGTAGCAACCCAGGGTTGAATCACTGGTTTTCAATAAGCGGGAAGACTGGGCGCAACATCTCTGCTAGGCTCCATCTGCAGTTTGCAGCTGGAGTGCCTCTTCGTTTGTCCCTGGTCCCTTAGAGGACAAGGAAGTGAAGGCAAGTTGAATTTCTAACTAAAGGGGAAAAGATCACAGAGGTGCCGCAAACCTACCCTTGGGGTGGGGCGCATCCTCTTCACTAGGGACCGGTTAACTCGCTTCCCTGGGCCTGGCCGCATGCACCGGGCTGCGGCATTGGGATAGCGCGGGGTACCAAGCTCTGCTTAGGCACCCCTCGGAGATGAGACTAAAATCAATCAAAAGGGGGAGGTTTTGCGAGGGAGGAGACGGCTGTAACCGTGAGCGCGGCGCTGCCGGGCCTCCCGAGGAGGGATGCTGCTTGCCGTCGGTCTGGTTGCTGGAACAGCGGCCGGAGACGAAAGGCCATGTGAGTCCTTGCGGCGTCCCTGTACAGTCAGCGGGAAGAGCAGGTTCCGGCGACCCGGTGTTTGTTTTTCTTGGCTTCGTCGCAGCAAACCCTGGGGAGACCGGCGACCTCCCCAGAGGGGAGGCCGGCCCGGCCCGGGGTCTGAGCCTGCCCGTCGCCCTTCCCTCCGATGTCCTCAGAGAAAAGCCGTGTTCGAAGCTGTATGGCAAGGAAACTTGTTCCTTCCATGCTTTATGCCGGAAACTCTGCCACTTGTTCCTTCCGAGCTTTATGCCAATAGTCTGCATCCCAGGCCTTCACCTGGGAACTGGTGGGGAAGCTGGCACGAGCTAACTGCGATACCTCATGTAGCTTTTTCTTTTGTTGTTTGTTTGGATTTTTTTTGTTCAGGCGCTGAGGTGAGGGCTCTGGGAAGGGGTCTGTTGTGCTGGGGGAAGGCCCCTGCGCTTATTTCCTCCGAGTCCGTGAGGAAGCCTCCCAGGCTCTGCCCCCAGGGCCCAGCGGTCCAGGTTACCCGCGCCAGTGCCCCAGAGCAGGTACCGCTAGAAAGGGCACCGGCCCCGCAGCCCTTTGATGGGCTGGCAGCACCGCCGGGCCGCTGCGACCTATTCTCATGCAAACGGCCAGCCATACCCTCTCTTCAAGCCTTCACCTCCTCCCCCGCCCTCCCCCCCCGGGCTTTCCAGGCGAACAGAGGGGACGTGTAGTCCTCGTAGGGACGGAGCCCGGATCAACAATTCCTCAAAAATAGGCTGGGCCCTAAGAAACAATCTGGTGGGACAAACAGGATGGTGTCGCCTCCTTCTCCTCCTCCCACCTACAAAGTGTGGATTCATTAACCCATCTCCTTTTCTCATCATATCCCCGTAGGGCTGAGAGACGAATTGCTGGAACTGAATTGGGAGGGGATTGCTCTATGAGGGGGCAATGTTTCAATCAGTTCCTCCAGAAGGACCACACAAAAAGAAACTTCTTAGTTTATGGTGCTATTATGCAGAGTTTTAATCTAGGGATAGATTTAACCAAATGTTATCTATTGGGAATTTAATGAAGCCCTTATGTATTCAATCGCTTTTTATACCACACACAGTGTCTCCATCCAGAAACGTTTCCTTCCACATATTTCTTTGTTTCTGTTGCGTGATTTATATATTTTTAATTAGGTTTAAAAAAAAAATGTTTCTTTTCAAACATCTTGTATAACGTTTGTCTCAAGCAGGACTGCGTTAGGGCCCTTCCCATATCCCCTGTAAAAGAAGTTTCTCCTTCTCTCCCCTGTATCGAAGATGATTACTTTGCACGTCCGCACACTGTGCCCTTCCTTCCCGCCGGAGCGCTCCCCCCGCCTTGTGCAGAGGGGCCTGACATCGCGCCGGGTCTCCCGAGCCGTGGCGAAGGCTGAGGAGGGCAGCGCACCCCAGGGGTCCGGCCTGGCCCTGGGGCCCCCGTGAGTGGCTCCCCGGGCCTGAAGCTGGTCTCTTCCCAAACCTTCCCTACCTTCAGCTCCTTCGGGCCACACATTCGCTCCTGGTTATTCTTCTGGTGCAGCGAGAGGCACCCCCGGGGTGCCGGCCGGTGCACCCTCCGTCCTTGAAGGCTGGTTTCAAGCATTCAGAGCCAGCTCTGTTCTCGACTCTGGAGGGGCAAAGGGGAGGCAAGGGACTCACCTGCCCTCGGCTGCGCCCTTTTCTTGCCGCGCTGGTGGCGAGAGTAGAGCTCACTGTCACTCCTGCAGAGACTGAGGCCTGTGAGGGGAATATTTTGAAAAGTGGATCTGGTTTAATAGTCTTCTGGCACGGCCCGGAGGCTCTCCTACGTATGTAGTACTTTCCCTCATTACTTACAGTGAGTACTTCAGTAGTTTCTGATAATATTGTATTTGACAGAAATAATGGAAATTATCGTGGCCAAGCGCTCTCTGTTCTGGGACTTGCTAACCAAAGCAGATCCGTTTTTCAGTTTGTTACCAGCGGCTTACTCATCCTGAGCGAAATTTCTCCCTGTCAGCTTCCTTTTCCGCGTGGCGCCGGGCCGCGCACACCGGCAGCCACTGGCCACCGGGTACCAGCCGCCGGGTGCTTCCCGAGTACGTAGGTGTCCGCTCGCCACCTCCTCCGGGCACCTGCCGCAGGTGACTGCAGGGCTTCTCTCCCCTTCTCCTCAAATTCTTTCACCTCCGCAGTCCTCAACATGAGAGCCACGTCGAGCAGCCGCCGTGGGATCTCCACTCCCTGACCCTTCCTGCACTGCAAAGCGCGACAGAGGTACGGAGAAGAGATTTGTGCACAAGTGTGTGTGTATGTAAGTGCGTGCAGGAAGACGGCACGCCAGACGATAAAAAGTTGCTTTCGGATCCACACTGCGGCTGCAAATGTGTTTGTTGCCTCCCTGCGCAGATAGGTCCCCATCGATTTCTGGGGAGGCGGAGACCTGCAGGCGAGATCCAGATCGGTAAAACCCTTGTTCTTGTTTTCCTCCTGCAGAAGAGCGCCGTGACCCGCCGCCGGTGCCCGCCCGGAGGGGTGCTGCGGGCTGCCGGCCACGCAGACCCCCAGCCCCCCCCTGCCGCCAGGCCCTGCTCTCCGAGCAGCTCCTGAAGGGCCCAGACGAGGAGAGAGAGGCGAAGGCTGCGAGGCCACGGCAGTGCGGGTGGCACTGCTGTATGCGCGCAGCTGCACAGACAGACAGAGCTGCCGCGGCCGTGCTCTGCGCCAAGCAGCGGGGAGGCACCCGGCGGTGACTCAGCGGGGATCACTGTGGGAACCCCGCGGAAAATGCGCTTCGTAATAAGATGTGCCTTCGGTACAGGGCTCCGGCTCCACGGGTTGCCGCGGCAATGGGCGACAGTGCTCCCACTGTGGCTTGCACCTCGGAGAAGAGGAGAAACCTACTCTCCACTAGGCCTCGGCGTGCCCAGAACGTAGGGGAAAAAGTATGTACTGTACTGTGAGAAAGACTTTTTAATTTTTGCTTTTTAAAAATGCAGTGTCAGGCCAATTTCAGAAATAATATAGCTGAGCTGAATTCACCAGGAAAGTTGTGGTTTGGTTTTTTTTTTTAATCAAAATAATTAAACTTGCCCTTTCTCCAAATCACAAGAGACCTGTTGAATTGATTCTAAGTTTCCCTTTCGTTGATGGAGCAAAACGGCATGCAGAAGTCTGCGGGAC